ACTTAATTCCAATTATTCGTGATCGGCTATATATGAATGATATCTCTCCATTCATACAGTTATTCATATTAATTATACGTATCACCAAAGTTTAGAGCCTACGATTCAACACAAATTCAAAGGGATTTTTTTGACCAATTACAATATGATCAATTCTCTAAACTATTTCATTGTAACCCAACATAGCGGATCCATACAAGACGACGAATCGAATCAATAGAACATAACCGTTGATTGGAGAGAAAATGCTGGAGGAAGAACGGAACTGTAACTTTGAATCTCTAGAAGACATGGTTTATTTTACCTTAAAAATGTGCGAAGTACAGAATCTGAATATTTGTTTTCTCTTGATCGACCTATGTGTCGCCTCGGTCCATCATTTCTTGGGTGATCAACATAGAATGAGAATGAAGATCGTACAAGGAATCAAATTATAATAACTGCTTAGGGTTAGAGTTTTCGAATTCAAGAAGAAAGAAGATACCTGGTTTCAGCATGATCCAATCTGATCCGATGATTACTGTCTAACAGTGTCGTTTCTTTAGTCAGTGTCATGGATGGTACTGTGTGGGCCAACTTGTGAAAGGCTGACTTTTCTGTAATCTATTTTTTATTTGGGTTCTTTAAAAATTGGTACAACTAATTATACTTATCACCATGACGACATTGGATGTGTGCGTTCCGATATAAGTCTATTCTGGCCCCGACTATGTTAGAGTCGATGGTTAGAATAGATCAAAAAAAATTTATATTTATTTGAAAAAAATATATAAAAAAAAAAAAATACACAATTAAATTACAAAGACATAATTGCCTATTTTAAGATCATTTAATTTAAAATTTTAATCTTTAATGTACTTTGATTTATCTGTATTTTTTAATACATATAAATACGTGTATATATATACATATATTCCACGTATATATCTATATAATAAATCAGATAAATGTTTGAACTTATAGGGGGTATATTTTTCCCCCAAATTTCACACACCCAACACATACTTTCCTCCTTCAAATTTCAAAAACCCAACACACACACACACACACTCAATAACACACAACTGCTCATACATACACACACTTCAACACATATATTTCAATGCACGCACAATATTATAATTCAGTGTACAGTGACTTTAGTCATAGTATATCACTATACAAATATATACTATATATATGTGTGTGTGTGTGTGTGTGTGAGGGGGGAGAGGATCGATCTACAAAATAAAATATTAGCGAAAGTTTTTATTTAATACAAAATTTATATATAAGCATATTTACAGTAGTAGAGGTGGAATGTAGAAGATGAGGGTTTATACAAGAGAAGAGGGTTCACCGAAGGTGCAAGAGGGGAGAGACGGAAAGAGTAAGTAGATGAGGTATAGGATGTGGTCTGGGTATGAGATGCGGTCTGGGGGTGGTGCTCCACATGTTGGGTCTGCACCCCTATATATAGAAGTCGGACATGAAATCCGGATTTCAAAACTATCTTATACTATCCACGACTTTATACTGTTTATAACTTTAATAATTTACAATGATGTCATTACTTACGTCATAAAATATTGTACATTTTTTATTGTGCACTATTCATAGTCGTTATAGTAACGTCGGGGCGTGCATCACTTTTTCATAGTGACGTAAGGGCGTGCGTCACTTCTTTCAGATTTGCTTTATCCAAGAATCAGTTTTATCTTATCATTTTCTATAAATCAAATTATACAGCACATTATCGCTGTCATCATGAAGGTTTATCTCCATATCATCATTTATTAATAGAAATGTCATCTTTAAGTGGGGTATATCCTTGACAATCCATAAAGTTGTCATCAGAATTAATAGGAGTGAGAGATTTTTTATTTTCTTCGTCAACTTTATCTTTCTCTTTGTTTTTTATGGCAACTGTAGGAGTATTGACTATATCTATCCTTTCGATTTTACTCATGCCAAAGGTGGATATGACCTGAAGACGGAATTCCTTCATAACTGCTGCTTTAAGTTGTTTAGAATTTAAATGAGATTTTTCTTTTTTAATTATTCTTTAAGAACTTCAACAAGATTTAAATCAGTTTCAGTATTTATACTGGTAGAGAGAGTAACAGAAATGGAGGCTTTATCCTTTGAAAATTTATCAATTGAAGATTTTATCTTCTTCTTTATCTATGTTTTTAAAATATTCCTCAATAATCTGACATTTAGAGTCACGGGGTAATTATTCCAATAACAAACATGGTATTCCCTAATTAGTCTGAAATGTCCGTTATGATTATAATCACAAACCAAAGTTCACGCTCAAATCTATGGAACAAAGAATTCAAAAGAGAAATTTTATAATTGCTTAACTTCTATATCATTGTTCTTTAAGAACGGACTTTTGTCTTTATACAAGTCAAATAATTTTTTCATTTTTTCAAGATATATCATGTCAATAGCATCATGAGTTTCCTACCAATCATAAAACCAGTTTGAAATTTTGTACAGTTTTAGTGAATTAAAAAAATCATGTATGTTTTAAATTTATAGCTTCATATAGAAAAGCATTATTTGGAAACATCAATATAATTAAAATAATTATACTCCGTATATGGAGTTTTTCTTAGTGTTCGGGGAATAGTGAGATTAAGTCCTCAGTCTCTATAATCTGTATTATAGTTAAAGAACCTCTGGAATTTAACAGAGTCAGTTTCAACCAAAATATTTTCATAATATTCTCTGTCTTTATTTTCAGAGTATAAAAAAACATTATCCAGGGTCATAAATCGGCCAACAATATATATACTTGTTGTTAAATCTCTTATCTAAATTTTAAATTATCTGTAACGCACCTTGATTCATTCGTATTTTTTTTTTTAGAAAGTGATTTTGTTTTCAAATTATATTTAATACACCTTGATTTATGTGTTTTTTTTTAAATGATTTTATTTTTAAATTAATTATTTAATATCCAAATAGTGTAATAGTGTAACAATAACAGTGTATCAATAACATTGTAACAAGTATACTACAACAAAGACAATGTAACAAATACACTGTAACAAAAACAGTGTTCAGTAGTTTGTGCACATGGTAACAAATTCAAAACGGAGATAAAATATTTTGAATGAAATTATATATTTGATAAAATATAGTAGTACAATATTTTGTATAAATAGTTTGTTACATTGTTATTGTTACACTATTCAGATATTAAATTAATTTGAAAATAAAATTACTTTCTAAAAAAAAACATATGAATCAAGGCGCATTAAATAAACAACATCACTTTTCAAAAAAAAAAAAACGCATGAATCAAGGTGCATTAAAGATAATTCAAAATTTAGATAAGAAATTTAATAACAAGTATATATATATATATATATATATATATATATATATATACATGTATTAAAGCTTTCCCATAAAATTAGGAGATGTTTAATGCATCACTTTCTAAAGAAAAAATACATAGATTAATGGAGGGAAAAAATGTCACAAAATAATCAATAAAATTCAAATAATGTACTTAAATACAAATAAGTATTAAAATTAAGGACTTAATTACCAAATATTTTTTTCTGTATATTTTTTTACAATTAAGTTTAATTTCGTGTACCTCCTTCCAATTTTCCCATATTACTATTGTCTTAGAACAATTCCAACCCACTATTGGTCAAAATATATTTAAATATTATCTTTTCTATTTTAACTAGTCATTTTTATAACTTCACTCAAACCACGCTCTTTATTAGCTAACTATTTCATCCAACTTTCACTAATTTTCAATAATTTAAAAGAAATTACAACATATATATAAAGAGATAGAGAGAAAAAGTGGTGGAATGGGAAATAGAGAGTGAATTGAGGAGTGTTTTTAGTGTTTGCCTAACTAAAATAGCTAAAAAAGAGAAAATATAAAGTGGGTTAAAGTTGCTCTTATCAAATTAATATATATTATTAGGTTAATAAATTTTAAAAATTATTTTTAATTTGATGTTACTAATTCAATTATTCACATTTATTTCATAAATTTAATAATTTATCCATTACTCTTTTCTTTTTTCTCTTGCTATATATATTTGAGAAATTCTCTTGTTGTATATTAAATGACAAAATTAAAAACGGTTGTAGTAAATATCAAGTTCAATCAACAGCAAACTAATAATCGTCTCTTACAAATAATATCATAATTTAATAATAAAATTGCCTTATATTGTTATTAATAATAATTCTATGTCTGAACACACTCTATAATACTAAAAATCAAACACTAATCGTATATATATTTAAATAGCAACTTTGTTTTCTTTTTAATTATACAATTTACAATTAAGGTAGAAAATGAACAAATAAGAGAGAGATAAGACAAAGAGAAGAGAAGTATAGATTAGTGGGATTGTTTGATATTGACGAGTGCATTAACTGAGTTGTTTAATATTAAGAGTCGCGCAAAAAAAATGATATTTTTGAGTTTTTTTTTTTTAAATGAATTTTGTATAGTAGATGAAATTAGATGAAGATTAGATTAATCTCAACTATTGTTGTGCTTTTATAAATTTACAATTCAAATTGTTAATTGGAATATTAGATAGATTATTGATTGAGCAACAGGGTTAAAAACTGGGCCTAGCTACTATGTCTGAGTTGGGCCTGCTTGGTGACTCCACAATGAGCACCAGCACACAGTTCCAGAGGAGAGATTGTATTTGTCATCGACACATTGTGTTCGATAAATAGTGTCCCAAGACTTGGGCTTTGTAGCCCCATTCAGCCACAGACAAATGGGGAAGCTGAGACGGTAATTTCATTCCAAAACTAGTACATATACAAATACAGAGAGATAAAGAGTCAAAAGGAGTATACATAGAATAAAACCGTGGCATCAATGGTGAAAAAAGGCTACCACCCAATAAAAAGGTGGAAGCACATGTTATCATATCCAATACGGTCAAATAACATCATAAACATGTTGATAGAGATAATAGACATAACAAGTAGAGAGACAAAGAGACTGTTTTGGGAACACAACCACGCTGCTAGTAAAAATGCCTTGCATTTAAGCTGAGTTGCTGCTATCTACACAGATTAGCTGTCGTAGGCATGCTTGGACCATTTTACAACAGCAGATACACTGGCCTCTTGGTTCAATCAGCACCCAAAGAAAGAACAGAAAAGACTTTCAATCGCTTTCCTTTTTGTTTCTTTCAATTTTCTAGTCCTTTTGACATTATTGAGAACTTACAAACAATTGACATATCATATCAATCTCTTGATGATTACCTAACTTTGGCAGTTGGGACGAGAAGATTTTTAGCACAATATCTTCAGAAGTTAAACGAACATCACCAATGTACCTCAAGTTGCAACAGATTTTTTTTCTGTATGTTGCAACTGGTTGTTAGGGGTAGCATGGATGATAGCACAAGTTTGACACAACTACAACTGAAATCTAATTTCCGAAAAGTTTTATATGCTATTTCTGCCATCATTCTTCGTTATTGTTGTCAGGCTGAACAGATTGCTCAAACTCCTTATCCATGATAACCCCATTCATAATATGTACAACAATCTTCCTCCTCTTGAGATCAACCCCTTCTGATCGAACTCTATTAACCACCAGCATTCCATCTAAGTCCTTGTGTATGTATAAATTAAATCCCGATAATGAATCATAACTGAGCTCCTTACCAAATGGTACTGTAACTGAAGTAATTGCCCGAGGCACAGTTGAGAAACCCAATATGCGAGTAAGTATTGCGTATGTATCATTCACTTTCTCAGCCGTAAAACTACCATTCACCCTTAAACTCAAATCACGCTCAAATGCTTTCTCTGAAGGAAGGAAAATTGTAAATGCAAGATCTTCAGGCAACATTTCAATAATCATTTCTCCAAACTTCCCTATCCTGGGCCTAAATGAACCTATTGCACCTCCTCCTTTTCTCATTGACACACCTACTTCTGGAAGTCTAAGCACCGAAATAAATATAACCAAAAGACAAGAAATGGAGATCACTACACAAACAAAAGCAACTGAGTTCTTCAAAAAGGGACCTCTTCTCATTTTCTTCGATTTATTGTACAGCTACAACTCAACTCAGCAAAGCCACTACATGAAAATAGGTAAGCATTAGGAATAAGCCAACCAAGTGAACGTTGAAAATTCATGTCAGGTAATTAAACAATACCGGCAAATGGCTCAACTTTGTTAAACATCCATAAATAATAGGATTAAAAACTGGGCCTCTACTGAAATGAAACCCATGAATTTAGAGCTGTTGCCAAAATTATGGCTAAGTTAGGCCTGGTCACTCAGTATGAACACCAGCCCACAGTTTCAGAAGAGATGACACATTAATATTATATTTCTCATTAAGTATAGTCAATCAATTACAGAAACACTAAATCTTGTGAACTCTATTACTAAATATTAAATTAACTGGGGTTTATTAATTTTACATGACTATTTGTAATGTTCAATAATATTGCGTGCCATTTATAACATGGTATAATCATTACATTAAATACTTTCTATCACAAAATCAAAACCTCCATTCTTACCTCTTTTCCCAAGCTATGGGAATTGGACTCTGCGTTGGGATGATCATTGATAATGAAGATTAAGCCATGGGGCACAATGTATGACACCCCAGAAGTTGAGATGGACAGATAAGTTCAATGGTCGATTAAGAGATAAAGACATAAATGCAAACGGGTCTAAATTTTCTCACTCAGAAGGGTTTAAATTTAATCAATCCATATGATTAGTGAGTGATATCCAGATTTAAATTTGCTCTCTAACTTCATATTGAAGAGTCAGGTGATTAAAACAATTTTCCCTACCCAAAATAAAAAAAAATAGAAAAAATGTGCAAATCATTTTTCCTTGCTTCAAATTCAAAAGGCGGGAACAAATACAAAAGAGACTACTCTGTGTTGAAATTGAAAATATAGGAACATCCATTGAAAAGCTAAAACAGAAGAAAAGTAGAAGGAGCTAATGACGCAATCGGCTGATAAAATCTCAATACAAACCAAGAGCGTGCATAACAACACCTCTGGATTTAGACATCAACCATTTGAGAGTAACATCAGAAACTTGAAGGGTTCATCTCAAAAATCATCTGAATTTAAAGATTAACCAAGAGCGTGTGCGCATAATTGAGTGTGTGTGTGAGCAACTGTGTGCGTGCGCGTGCTCGATTGAGTGAATGTGTATAAGTGTTTTAGTATACCTCTGTGTGTGAGTGTTCATGTGAGTGCAATTGACTGTATCTCTGTGTTTGAATTTTTCCCGTGTGTGTATGCATTTGAGCAGAGAGAGATTGGGAGGGAGAGCAGAGGAAGAGTGGGACCTGATTCGGGTTCAATTCAAGCTTCTGCATCTCCACTACAAGCTCGATTCCAGCTACTTTAATTCTCCAACACAATGGCAGTTGCAGCTTGCTCGAATCAAACGAAGAACCATTCATTAATGGCAAAAAAATGACTATCACCAGAGGGTAATCTATTGAGAACAGAAGAATGGATTCGTTCAACAGATTCAAAGCTCGTTTCAAGATAAAATGCCGATTCAAGATTACAAGCTCGAATGGTGAGCAAAAAAATTCGTTAATGGTGATTCCAAGTCGAAGACAACATGAGAAGAAAGGAAACGATTATACTCTGTAGAAGGGATGAACAAGACAGGATGGGAGAAATCTAGGTTTTTCAGTTGTTGAGGGGGAGAGAAGACGGAATGGAAGCAGACGTAGTTTTAGACAGTTTTTAAACCCGGCCCGGACCTCAACCCAACAAAGGAACCAAGTTAATGGGCCGTCACTGGTTGAACCAGTCATATACTTAAAAAATTAAAGTAATTATTAATAACAATAAATATGCTAAAAAGTTGTATCAATTATCAAAATATCATGTTTAATGTATATCAGATCAAACAACACTAAGAAACTATGAAACATGTATCAAATGCATCTAATTTTTAAGACAATTTATAAAACTAAGTGGAAAAAAGTACCTCTCCATTAAGTGAAATTCCAATGATACTACTGCTTGCTCTCATCCTTGTCATTGGCGGCCACCTAGAGTGCATCTGTGGTAAGAGTTATCAGTGTGTCAAATTTTTCAATCTTCCTTGGGACAATTTCAATCCTACAAAATAAAGACTTAAAATACAAGCTTACAAATACAACTCCTACAAATTGAATGAAATTTGACGTGCATATTGAACTCAAATTCAAGTGCAAAAAAAAAAATCAATGTGGAATTCCAATTCAATTCCCAAGTCGGTTTAACTCACATTCCAATCAATTTCAAGATTCAAATTCAACCACAGAAGCATAGGCCCAAATGGGAAAAAAATCATAGAGATGAGAAATATTACCTGTTGGATGTTGATGCTGCATTGCTGGCACTGTGAGATGGTGAGATGTGCTGCTGTGATTGTGAGAGGATGAGAGAAATCAACAAGCCGAAGAATCTGAGGAGTAATCGCCCACAGAAGGTGGTCAAGATTAACGAACTCCTATCAAATGTGGTGACTGGTAGATAGAGAGATGTAAATGAGATGAGGACGTCAGAGTAATATCTGAAATGTGATTACCGGAGAAGATCGTCGGAAATTAGCGAGTCAGCGAGAGTGGACAGGCCACTGAGACGACGAGGGAGAGCAGCGGGAGCAATATGCCAAAACATGTTGGGGGGTTTTAGGTTTTATAGATTTACCATAACCGTCCAAACATACACAGTATAATAAAGTTTGATAAAAAAAGAAATATTAGTATAATAAGGTAACACCGAGTGTGGGTGATCCACTGGATATCAGACAAATTTCTCCATGATTCGTGTCTTAAAGTTTATATTGGAATTCGGTAGTTAACCATTATACTAATCTAACTAAATTTTTTCTTGAGAAGAGTAATGGGCGTGATTCAAAGCTTCATGATCCCACCTAGGGATGTCAATTGTGTCGTGTCTTGTTAGTTTCGTATCGTCTCACTTTTAGTGTATGTCGGGTTTGTGTCAATTTTAAAATAAAATTATTAATAATAAAATGAATAAATATCCAGTACTAAAAAATTATTAATAATCAAATGAAATTATCACATCGTTGGTTACAAATAGTGATATAAATTGGGGTAAATTTTATTTTACTCGGTTTAATCCATTTGTACATCACTACTCTAGGGTAAAAAAAAATAACACATAATCCTTAATTAATATTAGAACGGTTTGTAACCTATAAATTTAAAAATTTTAATTGCATTAAAAATACAAAATGGAAATGTCTCTCTCTGTCTCCCCCCTCCCCCAATTGAACCATAAAGAGTATTTCACATATGGATTTAAGATTTTAGTGGTAATTCACATGTGATTTTATTATAAAAGTATTGATTAGATTTTAATATTTGAGAATTTTTTTTTAAATCCTATCTTAATTATTTAAATGCCAACAATAGAACATAATCTTTAATAACTCCCATTAAAATTATTTTCATTGTTGATATTATTTAAAATCGAGTAACATATTCTCACCTATCCATATCTCTACTCCACTTAGAATTTAAGAGATTCATCTTTCATGTGTATAGAAAGGACAAGAAATTTATCAAATACCTTATTAATATTACCTTCACCATGTTTTCTTATCCCTATTGAATTACTAAGTAACTAGAAAAACTCATTTCTCCCCTTTTATATATAGAGAATAAGAAATTAGTCAAAAGTTATATAGACAACTATGTTGTGTTATTGGATGAAGTGGTAGTAGATGTGACAATTCGCGAGTCTTATAAATGAGCAAAATTTTATTTATTTAATTTATTGCTTAAAGATAGTAAATTTTAATGGATTATGTTAGTATTTTTTTTTCATAGGCATTTATATATATAATGTTATTTTAGAGAGTTTTTATATATTTTTATGACAGTTCCATTAATATAGAAGATATAATCGACAATATATTTTGAGCCATTTTAAAAGAAGAATTTGTATGAATATTTTTACTGCATTTTTTTTGAATTTGGACAATTGTTTAAAAAAATTTTTTTGTTGTATAGTACCTTCAAGCATGAGTAATAACTAATTTATCTATATAATAAGATAGAACGAAATTTGAATCCAAAAGACAAAGAGAGGTCCAGATTGTTTTGAGACAAAACATATATATATCCAACGGTCAATGTAATCTCAACATAAAAGACGGTTCAGATCATCTCAAATATATTGATCTAACAGTCTACACTTAGTTCTGAATTTCTTTTCCCGCCTATGAAGAAGTCTTTTATCGTAAGACTCAACACTTCTATCTCTCATATATTTCTATCTTAAATTTAAAAAAATACAATAACAACTCAGATTGAATTTATTTTAAATTAAATGATCTAAATTCATCAAACTTAATTCAATGGCTCACAACACATCCCACACAAAAATAAAATCCCACCAGAGACGGAGCCAGAAAAATACATTAGGGTGGGCACATTAATAAATTTTAATTATTTTTTTATCAATATTACGAATGACTTAATTTAATGTAAATGTTATTTTAGTTGTAAATTTTAATGTTAGATGAAGTCTAATTTCAATTAAAGAAGTGCATTGAATTATGTCATCAAATTAGATCTAAATAGCATTTTTCATTTTTTTTTTCAATTGATCATAGAAGTTCATAAATTCATATTTACTATAATTATGCGTAAAAATTCATTAAACATAAAAGGTTAAAAAACGATTTGCATGGAATGAACAAACAAAAAATAAAAGTAAATTAATTAAAATTTCGTATAAGACTAATTATTATCATTTTATAATTAAATCTGATTGTTGTTTATCATTTAAAAGAATTACAAATTAATAATATCAATAAATAATTTTTTTTTCTATATACAAAATGAGAATAACAATCTTTCATTTATTACCTTGTAATTTATAACATTATGACGCTCATTTCTATACAATAATAAAATAATCTTATAATTTAAAAAAATGAACGCGATATGTCTAAAAATTATTCAGACATGTCCATGTCTAAAAATTTAAGAATAATAATAATTGCATTTAATTCAAAATTTAATTTTATATCTTAATCAAAAAAAAATTTAAAATTTAATTGGTAGGAACTCAATTGTTTGTAACTATTGGATATATATATATATATATATGTAAAAAAAATTGAGGGTGGGCACGATTAAATATATCTAAATTTTATTTTTAAAAATATATATCTAATGTCAAAAAAAAAAAAAAATTGAGGGGGGCACGTGCCCACCCTGGTCCAAGGGTGGCTCCGCCCCTGAATCCACCCAATTTAACTACACTCATATGCTACCCATTTTGTTTAACACAACCCAAACTCTTTCTCTTTTCCCCATTAATCGTTTCACCTCTCTTAGTTTCTCAGAAATCATTGTCGTCATCCTCAGTCTCTCATCTCTCTATGCAGACTCCAACGATAGACAGACATTCTTCAACGATGCACGACATAATCTGGAGATCCACTGGACTTACCCATTCCGACCATTCACTCTCTTCCATCCAAATTGTATTAGCAGTGATCTAATTTTCGAAAGTATTCTCGCTGGTAATCTCTCCATCTTTGATAAGTGTGAATATGTGTATATATTGACACTGATACAATTACCGTGCAATTGAAACAAACGCTGCAAGTTCCATCAGTCTTGCATAAATCAATAAAATAAGAAGAAATAGTGACAAAAAATACTACCACCCCATTTGGGTTTTGGCCAATCATTAAGTAATTTGTTTGATGGTGTAACAACTTGGCTGATATAATAATAGGTGTGAAATTGATGAATAGATATCGCCCACAACCCAAGCGATGTAAGTCACCGCCTCTGTTCCTCTCCACTGCCACCGCCACCGCCACCGCCACCGCCCCCAGGCACCATCCACCCATAGTTGAATTATATTGATAGATTTTTAGTGATAACAATTCAAAATAATAGTCCAAGTGGATAAATCAAACAAAAAATATACATCTTAAAATTGTCAACAATGGCTTCCCGTCGTCTAGAAAAGAAAGCAAGGAAGACGATCTTAAATTTCATTTATGCCCCCATAATTTTAGTGTATTTATATTTTTACCCCTTAATTTTTAGAAACGTCATTTTTATTCCTTTAGTTTCAAAAATAATATTATAACCCCATAACTTTTATGAAAATTCTTCTTCTTCATATAACTTTAAGGCATCTTTGACACATTTATTAGATCATGGGGGTCTATATCTATAACTAATGCTAGAATTACCAATTGCTTATAACCAATTCTTTTTTCTCTATTTATTTTCTAGCATAAATTGTATAAGTGGAGTTTAGCCTCATGTGAGGTTTCAATACTCAATTCCTATTGGTTGAAATATTGGAGATGTGTGCTTTATGGAGAATGACAAACTAATTATGTGAGTAGTTATCAAATATTTTATGTTTAATTTTCATAATTGTGTCGTTAGTAAATGTTTAGCATTTATGTGTGTTTAAGAATATTGATGATTTTTTTGTGTTGGTTTAGTGGTGTATACTTTGACAATAGTTTATTGTTTTAATTTTTAATGTTCGTGTGATTTAGTTGTGGATGTATTGTCATTAACTGATTATTGTTAAATGTTATATGTTAAAAATGTATTATTTGTACCTTGATTTATGTTAGTTTTGGTTAATTTTTAATTTTATGATAAAAATTTACATAAAATTAAAAATATTTATATTAAACACACATAAAATATATACTATCTCTAAGTTTAATGCTTTTTTTTTCAAAATTTGACAGTTTAACATTTGACCTCGATAACCGCATACACACTGTCACTACAACACAAAAATCAATACCCAAATGAACAATGTCACAATTTTTGAATATGTAAGTTATTTAGTATATCAATTTTTTCAAAATTTTTGGTATAATATTTCATTAAAAATCATTATATACTTATTATATAATTTTTCATCCTTCTTATTACAAACTGATTTATATCTACAGTACACTATAAGTAGATCTTCTTATTACGCATCTTAGTATCGATGATTGATGTTTACTTCATATTTCTTATCAATCAATGAAATTTAAATTGTCTTTATAATACATAAATAAAATCATCAAGTTATTATTCATACCAAAAATAAATCACTACTGTATGAAAACCTATAGCTCTCAGAAAATTAAAAAAAAATTCAAAGTCCAAGTTAATCAGCAATTAAAAAAAAATAAGTGACCAATACAAAAAAATAAGATATCAATTTGCACCAACAAAAAATGTTCAAAACTAATCTAATCGCTATGTGTTAAAATTATTCAAACATCTTATCTTTGTGTGTTGAAATTTTATAAGTAACATAGTGCCTTCAGGCACGGACAATGACTAATATTACTTTAAAATATCAAAATATATGAAAAACTTTTTTTTTCTCATCTTTACCCTCTAAAAACCTAACTTTGTCATTCATATCGTTTATATTTAATGACAGAGAAACCTAATTGTCACTCCACTTCATTCCTAATCCTAGCCATCTCCTAAAATCTATTACCAAAAGACAGTTGTTTTGGAACTTATTTATCAAACTACGACATTTTTTAAAAACGGAATCAATAATTCTGCTTTTATTAAAAAGCGGATTCAACAACTTTGCTTTTGTTAAAAAATGAGATTAATAATTTCACTTTTAAATAAAAAACATGG